ATATATAACAGATGAATATGAGAGTACATCATAATGTTTAGAAGTGGGCTGAGGAAGACTGAGCATAAACGGAATTCGTCTATATCGCTAAGATGAGTCTTAAGTTAGAACTTTATTACGTATACGGCATAAAAGGTCCTGGGCAACAGAGTCTCAATTTGCTCGCTACTTGTCGAATATAGACTAAATGGCTTGAAATATACACATGCTAGTTTAAGCACAGCTATAAGCGTGTATGTATTTACATTTACATGCACATTCATTTCAAACAAAGACAATAATTTTGTCGAACTATGGGCATCAGTATACATTTGACATACAAAGATGTATGTCACAATCAGAAATAGACCAACTCCTATGCAGATAAAGCCAACAATTCCCTTTCACAAGACTACCAAGGCATACACCCATTCAGCGTACATACCCATCAGCCGTGGCAACCTCAACTGCATTCTTTGCTTCGGCATCACTATCGCCACCCACTGTCACCGTTTGGGCCGTATCTTTATCTGCTCCTTTACCCTCTGTAGCCGTGGTGTGTGTGAGCATGTGTTTAGCCAGGTTGCTCTCCCTCATATAGGACATCGCACATCCTGGCCAATTGCATACATACGGCTTAGTGGATACATTCGTGACTTGGGCAGTTAATTTTGTATCGCGATTCGGCTTGTGTGTGAGGATATGCTTGTCAAGATTCCGTTGTCGTACGTACGACATCCCACACCCAGGCCAGTCACAGACAAGTGGCTTATCCGACACAGAGGCGAGTGTTGCTTTGTGATGCTTCCCCACTTTCGACGGGAGATATCTGTGAGAAGTTAGAGCCAATTTAGAGGATGAATGTATAATATACGCACGATTATATGTTCGTAATGTTCGAACACAACATCTCTAATGTGTACATTTTGACCAAACGTGCATATACGATCAATATGACACTTGCATTACTCATCTTATCGACAAAGTGTATATTCCACGTCGAAGGCATGATTCACGACACGACAGCTACACAGTTAACGTGAGGTGTACAGCTGCCTTGTCAACAGTGACACGGCATGAGATCGTTTGCACTTGGGCGTTGAAAGGGAAAGGCAGACATCGATTGCATCTCCATTTTCAGGATGCACAACTATCACATGTAGAGTTTTAGGTGACAAGCAATGCGCTTGTGACTGAACCGCCGATGCAAGAGTAGACCCCTTGTATTGCAGTTGCTATTGAGATATGTGTGTGTGTGAGTATATATATATATATATAAATATATATAAACAAATATATATATATGTGTGTGTGTGTGTGTG